TCTTTGTAATTTAGCCATATTTCCCAGGATTAATGGTGTTTTGAAGGTCAAGTCATGGCATCTCAGTAGGATTCAGGTCAGGACTTTAACTAGGCGGCTCCAAAGTCTTTAATTTGTTCCTGCTGCAGAACCAGAGTTGGTTGAACAGATTGTCAGAGGCTCTGCCTCAGAATTTATTGGTAGACGACAGAAAGCTTGTTTCTATTTATCACAGCAAGACTTCAAAGTCCTGAAGCAGCTAAACATCTTCCCAAAAGTCCAGGTGATCAACATGATGGGTCCTGGAATAACTGAGTCGAGCCTTGATGTTCCTTCATCATTGGTTTTAGTCTTGGATTTCTGCCATGCAGCCATTGTTCCTCTCTTATGATGGAGGGATGAACTCTGACCTTAGTTGAGGAAGGGAAGCCTGCTGTTATTTTTGTTAGCTCTTTTGTGACCTCCTGAATCAGTTGTTGCTGCGCTCTTAAGCCGAGCGTACACTGTGCATTTTTTCAATCATTGCAGCTACAGCTCAAACTGTATGACGAAACCGCAGGGTTTAAAAGTTCGCAGGTCACGATGTTTGTTCTCACACTGTGCGACCTGACACTGATGCGATCTACCTGCTCACACTGTACGTCTAAAAACCAGCTGGGACTCAGCTCCGCAGTGAGATGGCGCTACTCTGACTCATCTATCTGGAAGCTAAACCAGTAGAAGAGGAACATGAAGCTCACTAGAGTGAAACGCGCTGCCTTGGCTATTTGTGCAATTTTGTGCTGAAAGCCCTAAAAAGAAAAGGTGACGACAAATTTGGACAAAAACGTGGCTGAGTAAACGTGGCTACTACGGTCTGTCTGTTTTACAGAAAGAACTCCATTTCACTCATTGCACCCCCGCCATGCTTCTGTGTTTTCATCTGAGAGGAAGAAGAAGAATCCTTGTTTGCGCACTGAGTGATTTGCCCACGACCACCTTACGACGGGCGACTGGATCTCAAACATTTGATATTCTCCCGACCTTACTATTCCTGATTGGGAGGTGGTCGTGAGAGGCTCGTTACCCCGTGTACACTACGCGACGCAGGACACACGATCAGGCTGAAAGTCCGACCGATTGAAAAATTCTCGCATGACTGCCCTAAAAGGGCAAAAAATCGTACAGGGCATGCCCGGCTTTAGGGTGCTTTTGGTCGGCCAGTCACTCCAGGGAAGGTTCACTGCTGATCTTTGTTTGCTCCATTTGTTAATTATAACCGTGTTTCCATTGAGGTTTTTTTTTATCCCCATTTTAAACGCTCACATTAGAAGAGCCGAAAGACAGTAATCAAAGTTACCAAAAGTTAACGAGCAATGAGATCTAAACCATGTTTAACGTTGAAGTAAATAATATAATAATGATTTTATTTTAGTGATCTCACATTGGAGAAATTTATCTCTGCATTTAACCCCTTGGGGAGCAAAGGGCTGCCATTGTGCGGCGCCCAGGGACAGTGTTGTATAAAGTACTGAAATCTCGGAGTCAAGTAAAAGTATAAGTACCTCTCCAAAATATGACTTTGGTAAAAGTCCAAGTGACTGACTGAAATGTTACTTGAGTAAAAGTCTTAAAGTATCTGAAATGCCTTGTACTTANATTTTTTATTCCTTTACAATAGAAGCCCAGAATTTTGTGTTTACTTGAGTTTTTCTTTAAAGTTATTTAATTTTCTACTCTATATCAAAAACTGAAGATGAAGAAACATTCAACTAAGTACATAAAAGAAAAGTGGGAATCAGAGCTTAATATGACAATTTCAGATGAAGATTGGTTAGATATGTGGAAAAAACATCAGACATCCACCAATTCACGGATATGGAGGAAGTTCACATGGAAAAATTGAATATGATTTAACGATACAAACAAGGGGTGTTGGCGGAATTGTGGATCAATGAATGCTGATCATTCTCACATATTCTGGAACCGTCCTAAAATTGTTAAATTTTGGAAAAATGTACATAAAACTGTAAAGAAGATACTGGGATACGATATTCCTATGAACAGTGCGGTGCTTTATCTTTGCAATTTGAACAATATCAAAGTATGGGTAAAAGACAGGTATCTGATTAAGATATTGTTAATAGCTAGCAAAAAAGCTATCACAAGGAAATGTCAAGAACAATGGACTGAAATAATAGAAGAAATCTACATTATAAAAAAAGCTGACACATCGTCCAAGACTTCACCAAACTCAAATGGTAGAAAAGTGGAGGAAATGGACAAGATTCAAGACAAAAGACAGTGACAAAGATTAAAAAAAATAATAATAATAAACTAGACGAGACAAAGGCCAAATAGATGAAAAGCTCCCAAGTGAAAGCTCTATGTTGCATTGAGTTTAATGTATAATGTTCATGTACACTGTATAAATAAAAAAGTGAAAAATACCAATAAAAGGTTAAATGTGTATTGGAATAATTGTATATAAATGTATCTGTGTAGTGTTAACATGCATAAAGCTGTGTGCTATGTGCATGTTCCTGTCCCTGCTTCCTGTTTGGATTAACTGAGTGTTGCAGCTGTTCAGAGGATCTCCATCTGAAGTTAAGTTATTTTCTCTGTGATATCTCTGTATCTAAGTAACTCTAACTGACTACTTTAAAACATAGCACCTTCTGCTGCACTTTTCTACTGAGCACTTGTCAGTTTCACACGGTTTTATTTCTGATAGCAAGGAGTANGCTCAGGGACCCAGAGTGTCAGTCGAACTTTGAACCTCTGGATTCCAAACTCAACCCTAAGCACTAGGCGGCCCCCCCGCCAACCGAATAACTTATTTGCCCAACTCTAAGCAGGGAGATAATGGCTAGGAAGCAAGAAAGTGGTGTAAAGAGGGAGTGGGGGAGGGGTTTGGCTCATGTGTGCTAACAACAGGATGGCCTGTACCAACACTAACACTAGTGGACATGATAAAACCAGAACAACTTTCCTGATTTCAACACATTTACTAAAACCTTTACTGCTCTGTGTTCCGCCCTAGTTTACGGCCTCTTTATCACCGGCCCAGTGTTACCTAATCCTAAGATGATTTTACACTTTGCCTCACCTGGTTAATTCGCTCCAGCGACGGAAACAAACCTAAATCACATTTCTTTATATGCAAAATTTAAAGGTTTGCCTTAAATTCATGGGACATTTGGATGGAAACACGATTGCTGGCTCCTACTGTGGTTTACTGGAGTCAAAGCTGCCAAACTGGCAGATCCCAAACTACTGTCTTCCTCTTTGCTTCCAGGATTCCTTTAAATCTCAGCATGATGTCTTACTTTGAAGATCGTTTGGTCAAAGTCACCATTTAATGCAGATCCTATTTAAGTGATTCATTGATTGAGAAAACAGGTGTGAATAAACACAGTTTTTGTTCACGCCAAGTAAGTCAGGATTTTTTATTCCTTTACAATAGAAGCCCAGAATTTTGTGTTTACTTGAGTTTTTCTTTAAAGTTATTTAATTTTCTACTCTATATCAAAAACTGATGATGAAACATTCAACTAAGTACATAAAAGAAAAGTGGGAATCAGAGCTTAATATGACAATTTCAGATGAAGATTGGTTAGATATGTGGAAAACACATCAGACATCCACCAATTCACGGATATGGAGGGAGTTCACATGGAAAAATCAAATACGATTTAATGATACAAACGTGGGGTGTTGGCGGAATTGTGGATCAATGAATGCTGATCATTCTCACATATTCTGGAACTGTCCTAAAATTGTTAAATTTTGGAAAAATGTACATGAAACTGTAAAGAAGATACTGGGATATGATATCCCTATGAACAGTGCGGTGCTTTACCTTTGCAATTTGAACAATATCAAAGTACGGGTAAAAAACAGGTATCTGATTAAGATATTTTTAATAGCTAGCAAAAAAGCTATCACGAGGAAATGGGGACAGGCAGACCCCCCTTGTCAAGAACAATGGACTGAAATAATAGAAGAAATCTACATTATGGAAAAGCTGACACATCGTCCAAGACTTCAACAAACTCAAATGGAAGAAAAGTGGAGGAAATGGACATGATTCAAGACAAAAGACAGCGACAAAGATTAAAAAAATAATAATAATAAACTAGATGAGACAAAGTCCAAATAGATGAAAAGCTCCCAAGTGAAAGATTTATGTTACATTGAGTTTAATGTATAATGTTCATGTACACTGTATAAATAAAAAAGTGAAAAATACCAATAAAAGGTTAAATGTTTGTTAGAATAATTGTATATAAATGTATCTGTGTAGTGTTATCATGCATAAAGCTGTGTGCTATGTGCATGTTTTCACAGCCACCTTTTCTGAAGTATACTATGATTTATGAATTTGCTTTTGGGGAGTTTGTGGTTGATTTACGGGCAGCACTCGACCTGCTGAACTTTGGTGAACAGCTTCAACCGCTTGGACTTTGACTGAGCCCTGAAATTTATAGGATGTTTACTGAGACTGCAAGTCTGAATTTTTCATGTTTCTGATCTCTAGAGCAGTCTTAGCTGTAAATAGGGAGCAGAACGCTGGGACTGCAGAGTGAGGTGGAGATTGTAAACTCTGCAATCTCTTCTTGCTCTCCTCGCGAGTAAAACTAAATTAATTGTCTCTGTGCCTCTCTGTTTTAGGTGCTTAGACCTGACAATGTTAAAAAAAAAAAGTTATTTAATTTTCTGAAACACTACAGTGTGATAAACGTGCAAAGAAATAAGAAATCAGGATTGGACACTTTTACAACTAATTTAATAACCAGAGCTCAGGTCTTATCTATGACCTGAGTAACATCCTGATCCAGCACCTGTTTCACTGCTTTTTCCTTTCAAGAAGCCAAAATCCTGCAGATCAGAGCCTGAAGATCAGTTCAAGTGACGGAAACCACTGCTGGTGGTAAAATAAAGCATCAAAGCTCCGAGAGTTCATGATGAACACTTGATAAGTTGGATGGTGTTATATCAAATACCCTCAACCATCTTTCCAACTTCAAATCAAATATTAATTAAAGACCTTCTGGGTGTGACTGGATCAATGGATCCATGTTTAATTAAATTCCAGAAACCGTGTCATTGCTCCTCAGCTGGGTGATAAAAACAACAGTTGATGCTCCCTGAAGCTCAGCTGCATCTACAGTCGATTCTAGATTCACATCTGCCGATTAGAGAATGTGGATTCCCTCGGCTAACCATGCTCAGACCATCTGACTGAACTCCTCTTCGTCGCTCGGCTTCTCGACGTGAAAATGGAGCAAAGTTCTGTTTAGGAAAAGCAGCAGATTGATCCTAATTTCCTAAAACCCCAAAATGTTCCAACAAATTAAGCACAGCCATCTGCTCTCTGCCATAAAACCGCCCGGCAACAAAACAAAATGTCAGCCAATCGGGGGTGGGGGGGCTGTGCTCCTAGGAAGCAGGATTGTTCCAGTGCCCCCTGGTGGCGAGATTAAAAGAACCCTGTAATCATCTTTTTTATTGAGGTCAGTGCAGGAGAAAGAAAAGTCATCAATGCAGATGCAATGTTTAATCTAAAATACAACCACAGGTTCTGCCTTCATATAGATATAAACAGGTTAGAGCTGCAGCAGCCTGTTTGATGGGAGCTGCAGCAGCTGATCTTTAACTTCAGGACATGAAGGGTATGATGATGATTCTGCATCAATGCAGATGATTCCTCATGGTTCTCACATCATCGTGTCTAGTATCTTACATGAAATAAATCATTGAGTTATTTCATAGTAAATACAAAAGCAGAAACAGCGAACAGAAGCTTCATTTCCTGCAGTCCAACTTCAGCCTGTAGATCAGGAGTGTCAAACTGGTTCCAGAAAGGTCCGTGTGGCTGCAGGTTTTCTTTCCAACCAACCAATAGCACACCAGACTCCAGTCAGCTCATCAAGTGAGTCCAGTCTTAACATGATGACTTGAAGTGTTGAGGCTCCTGGTCCAGCCCCGGAGCTGGCGGCTCGCTTCGAATGCCTGGTGTGTTTCAACAACGTGCTGCACTGTAGTCGACCAAAATCCCGGATGATTTAGAAATTCCCCCGGACATTTTTTTAGGTACGAAAAGCAGGACATGTCCGGAAAAAAAGAGGACGTCTGTTTACCCCACAATATCAACAATCTGATGTTTCAGTGAGTGAGTGCTTGTTGCTATGATGCGTCTTTGCTCAGCAGGTTCGATCGTTATAAACCAACCAATCAGAGCACAGCTCCTCTAAATATTCATAATCATACCATAAAAGGAAGAAAAGCTGTCGTTTCATTCTGGGGTTTTTAAACCAGGCTGCATTAGGGCTCATAGAACAGCAAATATGACATTTTCAGCCCATCCAATGTTACACACCCTATTCCGAGACCTTAAAGGGGAACGCTATTTTTTTTTTTTTTTACATAGGTCCCTTGATTTTATGTTATTATATCATGTTCTACTCACCCATATGAGTTTTGTGTAGTTTCGAGCCGTTCTGAAGATATTCTGTTAGGTTATATCTAAGTAACGTCTTCCTATGGGCAACGACTTGAAGGCACAAACTAAACTGTTCATCATTTATTCTTTATGGTACGCCAGCATTCAGAACATGTAGGCCAATCACTGTCCCATCAAGTCTTTATAAATGTACTCTGCTTTCATGCCAGCATAATGGAATAGATCCTGAGAATCGTTTTGAATCGTAAATGAATCGTTTCTGAATCGAATCGTTTGGATTTAAAAGAATCTGAAAAAAATCGAATTGTAACCCAAAGAATCCATTCTAAATCGAATCGTGGGAATCCCAAAGATTCATAGCCCTGAACAGAACCACCTTCAACCCATCAGAAAAGCCTTGATCTCACTGACTTAGACTTGACCCGGGCTTGCACTGTACGATTTTTTGCCCTTTTCGAGACGATTTCCAAGTCTTGCGAGAATCTTTAGATTGTGCGGAAGGGGTTGGGAATGACATGGAGTTCTTTCTGTCAAACTGACAGACCATAGTAGCCATGTTTGCTCAGCCATGTCTTTGCCCAAATACATCGTCTCCTTTTCTTTTTAGGGCTTTCAGCACAAAATTGCACAAATAGCCAAGGCAACGCGTTTCACTCTAGTGAGCTTCACGTTCTTCTTCTACTCGTTTGGCTTCTGGATAGACGAGTCCGAGTAGCGTCATCTCACTGCAGAGCTGAGTCCGACGTGGTTTTGGACGTAAAGTGTGAGCAGGTAAATCGCCTTAGAGCGTCGGGTCACACAGTGTGAGAACAAACATTGTGAGCTGAGAACTTTTAATCCCTGCGGATTCACCGTACAGAGTGAGCTATAGCTGCGTGCAACGATTTTAAAAAAATCGCAGTGTATTACCAGCTTTAGACATACTTTACTGTCATCTTGTATACGTAGAGTTTATTCAAAACAAAAAATTGTTTTGTACAGCTCTTATGACATTTCCATTTCTTGCAGCAGTGATTAAATGTAAACATTGGGAGAAAAGGTGATGGAGATGAGCTGGATGATTGTATAACTCAGATGACACCTGGAAACATCTCTGTATTGTCAATTTAGAACCGCTTTGACTCACCAGGGGGGCGGGGGCTGTCAGCGGCGCCTCCAGGACATGAATGATCCCGTTCACGGCAGGAATGTCCCAGTCCAGCAGCAGCCGCTGGTTCACCAGTTTACAGCTCTGAAAGGAAACCACAGGAAGTTCAAAACAATCCAGATGGACGGCGTTGGACACGTCCTCATTATTCTACGCTTTAAGCACAGACATATGAACTAAACAAATATAAATATAAGACATCCCAGGTCTCCCTATAATTCCAGGAGTTTCCCTGATATAGATAGTTGTTAATTGATGCCCGCGAGTCGGATAAATTATCCCGGATTTTAGACAATGGGAGGAGGAGTTTTTTTTAATGCCAGTGAAAGCGAACAGGCAATATAATAATTCATGCATCATGTGCGGATTAGAACTACTGCGGTTGCGCAGACAAAAGAGTGGGGTGTGGGGAGGAGGTTGCTGGTGAAACCTGTGCAGCGTATCTCTCCAAAGCGATGCTCTGATCAACCAGCGTTCCAGGCGACTGGTTGATCAGAGAACTGATTGGATCAGTTTGATAAGTTTCTCTGGGTTACTCTCTGGCAGTCACTTAGTTACCACTCAAAGCTGTGCATCCTGGGAAACGGCAGAGGTTCAATCCTCGAGTAAAAAAACGGAAATATAGCACTAATTTTACAGCAGAATATACTAAAGTATATCCACGTCTAGTGAAGGTGAGGAACAGTGGCGGATCTAGACCAAATGTAACAGGGGGCCAGGAGGGGACCAGTGTGTTTCCATGGGGGCCCAGAAAAGCATGAAATAAAAAAAGGGCAAGGAATTCAAATATATTAATATAGCTGCATGAAGTGAAATATCTATTCAATTAAGTTCAACAAAAATTCAGTTTCTTATGAGGTCAATATACATTTATATAATTCAGGAATTTTACATATTTTTTGACTTAATTTAAGTTAAAACTACCGCTTTCTATAAAAATTGAATTAGAACTCAAGAAAAACTTAAATTCATCTAAAAAAAAATCAAAGCATTTTTTTTTTGTTGTGAAAAAAACATTTAACAGATGAAAACTGGGATCCTATCTCAATCCCACTGAAGCTATCACCTTATTGTTTATGAATAATTAGTAAAACAGAATTTGTAAAGAAAAAGAATGAAATAGATCCAAAGGACCCATCAGTAACCATTGTTCAGCTCATATCATCATTAGAATTTCTTTTTAGTATTATGTCTTCAGTACAGGGGCCATAACAGGGGCACTGGCCCCCATTGGCCCCTGTCTAGAACAGGCCATGGTGAGGAATGATGACACCGTGGCGAGGTGCACTGTATGCTGAAGTCTCATGAAAAATAGGAAGCACAACTGATGTCCAAGGATACAAGATTGAAAGTATTGAAAATAAAAGACCAATACTGTTCTGTTTAGTGTTTCAGAAATAACAGTTAGTTAATAAACAATAGTTGAAAAGTTGCTGGCCTTAAGTGTTTATGTATGGGGCACGGTGCGGATCCGTTGTCCCCTGGGGGCGGGGGGTTGGCGGATAAGCATCTCCCTGAAATGAGTTTTTGGAACTTGGGATGTCTGAAATATATACTGCCTTTTGCCGTAAAGCTATGAAAACTAAAACTTAAACCTCAGATTTGATCATGAATATGTCAAATTGTTATATTCTTTTCTCAGCATATTCAACAAACTATAAAAAATATTCAACCTTCAGTCGTTCCATCCTTCCATTGCTTTTCTAAATTCAATCATAACTGTTCTATTTTGGCTTTAGAGATAAAATAAAATGAGCTTTATTATCAAAGTAAAAAACATTGCCAATACCTGGCTGTATGTTTTGCTATCAGAGCGACTGGGCAGGCGACACACAGCTTACCAGACGCTTCCTCTCTACGGCGTAATGATTGTGCCATTGGTGTGAGCATGCAGGCTTCTATCTGTGTGCGCAGTGAGACGGTATTCAGCGTTAAACATCACAAGCACATGTTCAAAACCTGCCTGATGCGCTCTCACTGTCCTCGCGCTCGGCTCCATCTCTGCGTGTGCTCAACAACAGCTGTGTGCTCAGCTGTTTCTCCGCTCGCTCGACTCTATCAAAGCATTCGTTCCAAATGCTACATCATAGTGGCTTCAGAAGTGAATACTAATGCATAACGGCAGTAAGCATATGTATACAGTTAATATTATAAACGTATAAAATCAA